CAAGCAAACACAAAGTGCACCGTCATACTGTCGCCGGTGCATTGAGGTTCTGGTGAAAGCGCCCTACCCGGCGGCCTTCAACCATCATATGTTCGACATCTCTGAGTAAGTTTCTCAAATCCATCTCCACTCCTTTGAACGGGTTGTTATTCAGTCATGGATGGAACCATGTATGTATTGGTTTTATTTGTCTTGATGACAGTTGCAAGGACACCTGCGGACTTGTGCACTGCAGCTGACCAGCTTAAAAGCCACCCTGGATCTTTAAATTACTTTATTTTGACCCTAATTTCGCCAAATTTTAGAATTTAAACTCATTTTTTTGAATTTTTTATTAAAGTCACATCCTTCATCTATTCTTTACCCAAAGTTTTGGGGTTCTCTGCAACATGTTTAAATTTTTATATCTTTTTTCATGAACTTCTGTTGCGATGTTACACAGAATCTGACAATTACCAACTACCTACAGTGTAGTAACAGATTTGGAGAAGAGGGGGAAAGGGATGTGGCAAAATTCAAGTAAACCAAACTTTTGGGTCCACTACGGCTGACTTACCACCTGAACAATGTATTGATCCATATCACTCTATGATAGTAACTTGCTAGAAGTAGGCAATGTTTGATATTGTGCAATATAGGAAAGAACCGGATGGTTCACTCCATTAGAATTTAAAAAATATGTTTCATTTGTCAAGAAATCATTTCATTAGAATGAAAGCCTTTAAGAGAAAGAAATATATAAACTTTTTGCTGTAAGGTGAGTTTGTAAGTTAGTAAAACCCAAAAAATATATATATATATACTTTTATATGATACCGTAAAAAATCATAATTGTATTTCGTATTTTTGATGCCCTGAAAAGAAAGTAGTTCAAATATTCAGAAATCATAAGTAATCATCGTTTGAGGAAATCTAAAACCATGTAATTAATAATTGACTTTGTTTATATGTTAGGATATTACATTTGGAGGAGATACCAGTGCAAATAACCAAGAGCAGGTTAAGCCGTATGGTGGAAAGAAAAATCAGAAGAGGAAGCATCGGTAAACCCAAAACAAAACATCTTCAAGCCGAGTAGTAATTTCATTTTGTACGTTATTCTTTTTAGAGGTCACAATTCCGAGGTTACATTTGGTCGATATTTATTTCCACATATACCCTTTTAATTTGATGACATTCTAAATTCTTATAGGTACTTTGAAGCTCAATTCATTATGGATGACTAGAAACGAGGCAAAAAAGAATGATCAACAACATGGAGTCTGCTGCATGTTCACGATCATTAAAAAAGAGAGTTCTATATGGTTGGATAGGCTTATACCCATGAACCGGAGAACAAAGTTTAATGTTTGCAAGAGGAAAATGAAAACTCAGTAGAGGGCAGGTATCTCTTATTTTATAGCAATTAATGTTCACCTGATCTCCGTGTAAAACAAAGTTTTATGGAGGACTACATCTGATTTGGAGAGATTAGAAAACATGATGTATGATTCAATTCGACTGGCAGCAGATGTTCATCGGCAGGTTTAATATTTTACATAAATGTTTTTATTTTAATTATATTTTGATTTTCAGAGTATGGAATATTTATTTCTACTTTTGTTCTTAAATATGCAAGTTGAATAAGTTGTTGTTCAGGGTATGTATAATCACAGAGCATATTTGCCTCTAACAGTCCCTCTCTAACCCTAAAAACTGAAGAGAGGAGCATGGCGGTTTTCATATGCGAGAGGTATGGGAGAGACAATGGAAATAGGAAAATCGAAGGGGGGCATTCAAGGCAGAGGCTAATTGCAACTTTTTCCACTAATGCCTAATTGATTTGTTAATGAAATGTCAGGGAAAGCTATCAGATGTTCAGGTAAATTTTTTTTACTCATGTTTCAGCACTCTGATTATAGGCTTTTGGCTTAAAACTATAGAAAATTTGTTTTAAGTTTTGATACATTATGTTTCTCTGATTATCAGTGCGGGGAGCAGATGGAACTACAACAGAATCTGTAGGTTGTGCACTATTCTTCTTTCTGTTTTCTACGTCTTCCCTTTTCCATCTTAGTAGGTAAAAAAGTTTCCAGTTGCTTACTTGCTCCCACATGTGATTGTAGTTGATTAGGAATATGGTGTTTGGATGGTAACATAATGTTTTTCTTTTGATTTACTGTTGGACAGATTATGTTATTAAAAGAATGTAAAGTTTTTAATTTGTACAATGATATCATATGGCTTAACATTATTCTTAATGGATCTATCTTTGGATCCTACTCTTTGGATATAATCAATGTTTGTATACAGATTTTCACAGAATTTTATGGTGGTTTTATAGCTGTATGTTATTCTTTTTTGCAGGTTTTGAAATACAATATATCAGTTGCTCATATTAGATAATTATGACTTTTTTGGTTATAGTAGCCTGATGCCTCATCAACGATTCAGATTATGTTACCATCCAAACACCTGCTTTTATGCTCAGTGGAGAACCTGATTTAAATTCAGGCTCTACACAGGATGGGCTACCATATTTTAGGCGAAAAAGGTAATGTTCCAACTAATTCTTCCTTTTCCATTAAAAAGACTAATTCTGACATTCAAATGTGATGAAATGATAGATTTGTGTCTTTCATATAGCATTTCCTGTTCTGCTTTCAATGTCTGAGCCATAGGTTTTCGTTTCTTCCTTCTTTTGCTCTCAAAATTCCATGCTTACATTTTAAGATATGTTGTATGTTCCTAACTTATCATTTGGTGGAAATTAATATAACTTTTTCTTAATTTTTATTAGGCACAATTGATAGAGCCTCTGGTGAAGGGGACACTTAATGTTCTTACATCTGCTGCTAAAGTTCCATCATCTTCCATGGTTGCAGTTGTGTTTCCTTATGAACCTCTGTTTTTTTTGTTATAGATACGGGGTTGGTGGGATGCCTTGCAGCAAGAAGAAAAATGCAATGCGAGTTAGTGTTTTTAAGTTTCAACACTGCAATCTTATATAATTATTTCCGTACAATAATCTTGACATTTATTTATTTATGTATTTCAAGTGGTTAGTTATTTATCGATTTTCGTGGATGATGATACCTTATGGGCTTTAATACTGGTTGCACTCTCTAATCTGGTGACCTACCCACTTTGTATTTTCTTTAACCGATCTTTGTTTTTTTTAATTATGGAATGGTTATTTAAAACACTTAACCATGTTGAATATGTAATTGCAGGGACAATAATCATTTCATCAACTACTTCCTTTCCTAAATTTCTATATAAGACCTATCCAAAAATCTCTTGTATGTTAAATATATTTTTATCAATATAATGGTACGTTGCAGTACATATACAACCTGAAAGAACAAAAAAAAAATGAGTCAGCGCCAACGGGCGCACATGATTCCCATCTAGTTATTGAAAAAAGGCCAAAACTTAAATCAAAAGAGGCCCACAAAAACATTTTTCAATTTTTTTTTAAACTAAAACAAACGGCTATATAAAACTTTTATATCCATTCGAAATTAAAAATAGACAAAACTTCAAAAATGGTCCATGTGGTTTCCGAAAATATCAAGTTTAGTCCCTAAGTTCAAAAAACCTCACAGATGGTCCCTGTGGTTTCAAAACTTTTAATGTTTGATCTCTCTCTCACTCTCTCTCTCTCTCTCTCTCTCTCTCTCTCTCTCTCCCCCCATTGCTTTGAGACTTGTACAGTACGTATTCTTATAGCTTCATCTTCCCCAAAAAGCCAAACCAACTTTGACCTTGAATAATCATCGTATCCATCAGATTGGGCAAGGAACAGACGAACGAAAGGCAGATCGATGGGAGGTTCGGTGCGGCTGGGAAATCACGAGGAGGGAAAAGGGTGTCCGTCGAGACCGATAACCCCTTGTTGGTTTACGCCTCTTCTTCATTGATCGGGAAAGGGAAGAAGGAACACGAATGAAAGCACTCAAAATGGTGGTCTGATGGTTAAATAGATCGCAAGAAGGGAGTCGATCTCCGACAAACTCCCCTTGGCTCTTCTCTCGTCGTCGGCGATCACAAATCGAGGGGAATGGGAAACACTGGATCGAATGGAGAAAGAAGAATGGAAGCAGAGGTGGTTCGGTGGGGGGTTTGGACAATCGCCAAAATGAAGGAAGAAAACGAAGGCAACTTATGATGTTGGGTGACTGTTACAGCAAGGGGGTTGCTCTGGTGGCCTCCTTGGTCGTTCCTTCTCTGTTCCATTGGAAAAACACGAGAGAGGAAGGGAAGGAAACAACGAAGTAGCAGCGGAGGGAAGCAGCGATCCTCAGAGGTGTTTGGTTGTTTCCGATCAACAAGAGGAGGGGTGGAGGAGGGCTGTCCCCATTTCGTCTTCTGGCTGCTCCGGTGACTAAAACGGAGAACCCGTTTCTTGATTTTTGTGAATGATTTCATTGGGGTTGCTAATCGATTTCATGTCTGTTACTCAGGCTCAATTTCTTGGTGAACTTTTAGGGAGGAAGAGAAGAATGGGATGGGGATCGGAGTGTTTCCCAGAGGAACCGGTGGTAGAATTTGGTGGTGACAAACGGTGAGGAATGATGCGATGGTGGGGGCAACGAAGAATGATTTGATTCACGAGAGAGAGAGAGAGAGAGAGAGAGAGAGAGAGAGAGATGATGTTTAATATTAAATAATTATATTTATTTTTTTTAAAAAAAAAGTTAAGGCAAAACTTCATAAATGGTCCCTTTGGTTGTGAAATGACAGAAATGCCCTTCACTTAACGGCTAAATGTTAACGGAGTTAGCGAAAAGGATCATTTGTTAAAAGTTTTGAAACCACAGGGACCATCTGTGAGGTTTTTTGAACTTAGGGACTAAACTTGATATTTTCGAAAACCACAGGGACATTTTTGAAGTTTTGTCGTAAAAATATTTTAATACACACCTAAAACATTGTTGAGACTTGTACCAGTGAATTTTGTACGATTAAACAATACACCAACAAACTAATTTCTTCCCTACATCTTGCTTCCACCTTCACACCGTTCACTCTACCTCGTATAACATAGATTCCCTCTCTCTCTCTCTCTCTCAACAAAAGCACACCCTTTTACACAGCTAGCTTTCCTTTTACTAATTGACTAAGTGTAAACACGCCTTTCGATACTAACATCAAGAATGGCCGACGACAGTCCCACTACCGCCTCACCTCCGCCGGAAATGGCTAGTGAGCAGCCCATTTTGTCTCACCCTCCACCATCACCTCCGCCACCTGGTTCTGTAACAGAGAAGGAAACCCCATTTTCACCACCATCCACCACTACCATAGGTCAGGTTATTGAACAACCAGAAAAATCCATATCCAATGAACCCACCAAAACCCCTGAACACATGCCTTCTTTCAAGGAAGAAAGCAACCAAATCAAAGATCTTTCAGCTTCAGAAAAAAAATCACTTGATGACTTCAAACACATTCTCCAAGAAGCCATAACCAAGAAAGAGTTTACCTTTTTGACTAAACCAGAAGAACCCATTTCAGAAATCACTTCACCTCCTGAAGAAATTTCAATTTGGGGCATACCCCTTTTGAAAGATGAAAGAACTGATGTTATTTTGCTCAAGTTCTTGAGAGCTAGAGACTTCAAAGTCAAAGATTCTTTCACAATGCTCAAAGACACACTCCAATGGAGACAAACATTCAACATTGATTCTTTACTTGACGAAAACTTAGGAGATGATCTTGAAAAAGTTGTGTTTATGCATGGATTCGATAAAGAAGGACACCCTGTTTGTTATAATGTATACGGCGAGTTTCAGAACAAAGAATTGTATCAGAAAACTTTTTCCGATGGAGAAACGAGGCTGAAGTTCTTGAGATGGAGGATTCAGTTTCTTGAAAGGAGTATAAGAAAGCTAGATTTCACCCCTGGCGGTGTAAACACCATTTTCCAGATCAACGACCTGAAAAACTCTCCGGGACCGGCCAAGACGGAGCTCCGGCTAGCCACCACTCAAGCTCTGCACCTCCTGCAGGACAACTACCCTGAATTTGTAGCAAAACAGGTAACTCTAATGGCGAATATTCGCATATTGCCTCCATTTATGTTCAAATTTTGTTCCTTTTTTGTATTCTAACTACGAATGATTATTTGAAGGTTTTCATCAATGCTCCATGGTGGTATTTAGCTTTCTATACAATGATCAGTCCATTCATGACTCAAAGAACCAAGAGCAAGTTCGTATTCGCAAGCTCTGCAAAAACCCCCGAAACCCTTTTCAAGTACGTTCCTCTTTTTCGTTATAAACTTATGAATCTCCTTTCCATTACCGATTCTTTAAGCTTTTAGGGTTTTGATTTTTGAAATTAGATACGTGACTCCCGAGCATGTTCCAATTCAATACGGTGGGTTGAGCTTAGATTACTGTGATTGCAATCCGGAATTCACCATTGATGATCCAGCTTCAGTGGTTACAGTTAAACCTGCAACTAAGCAAACTGTGGAGATTATAGTCAACGAGGTACAATTTGCTATTTACTGTTTTACATGATCCGTTTTCTCTCAAAATGTTGATCGATTTCTTTGTGTGCTTCACCATGAATTGTTCCAGAAATGCGTATTTGTCTGGGAGCTACGTGTAGTTGGTTGGGAAGTGAGCTATGGTGCTGAGTTTGTACCCAATAACGAAGATCTTTACACCATAATCATACAGAAGGCGAAGAAGATGACTCAAAGTGATGAACCTGTGATTAGTCACAGCTTCAAGATCAGTGAGATTGGTAGGATACTTCTTACTATTGACAACTCGACTTCAAAGAAGAAAACATTGCTCTATAGGTTCAAGGTCACTCCTTTTTCAGAATGAAGAACTTACAGAAGATGAATCTGTTCTTGTTGTCTAGGATTTGGATATGAGTCTTTATTTATATTATAGATATATTTCTTTTATGGTAATTTGAAGGCGTGAACTTGATTTCATCTTTGTTGCTTGTAACTTGTAAGTGTGTGAACGACAATCAGTTTTAATTTGGATTGGTTATGGTAGAGATATGAGTTTCAATTAATTTACTTATGAAGTGGTAGGTGTTGTGGTATGTATATATGTAATTGTGAAATGAGTCGAATGAAAAAATTAACTAAAAGTGAAACAAATGGGTAGAAAGTTTTTCCAAGAGTAGTATTAAGGTATCCCTTAAATTTGTTTTATTTAAAAGTATCATATTTGATGCATTAATTATTTAAAAAACTAAACCAAAATGTGTTTCAAATTACAACAATTTACTTATATCCATGCCTCCATGGTCTATCATAAAGCCTATGTATTTAGCCTTTGCGATAATACATAGGTCCTTTGTATAAATAGATAATAATAACAAAATAAAATAAAATAAAACACTGCTACGTCTAACTAAGTTTTTGAACAGAACCAGAGCCGAGAGGCATGTATAGGAATATAGGATATTTGAAATTTGAAATCAAGAAATAAAGGAGTAGTTTTTCAAGAAACTTGGGCCATCACTTCTCATGCTAAATATTGAATCATATAGGGACTCTAACTCTGACCCATATGACCATATCTGTTAAATGATGAAACCAAGTGACAATGTATGGGCCGATGCTTCTTGAAATCTTGATACTCTTTCTAGCTTCATCAATGGTGAATATTCGGAACACCCAACAATCTTGTCATACAATCGTGTTCAATTGGTAGAAATTTTGACATCATACAATTCAGAGTTGTTTTGCTTTATATTATATAATTTTATTTATAAAAGGATGATTTAGACATTCTCTTTAATTGTTTAAAGAAACGTCCAAGTGTTAGAATTGATACATACATATGTATGTGGTCCTAAGAGCATCCACAATGGTGAGTTCAATGGAAGAGTTGAATGAGGTGGCAAATCTAGTTGTCATTCAATGAATGAAACTCTACCATAGTGAGATGTCACCTTGACATTCAATGGATTTGGAGTTCAATGGTCATTGAACTCTTCAATGGGAAAATGACTGTTTTTAATCTTAAATACATACTATAAATTAGCTTTTGTAACTTTCTATTGAACTTTGTAGAGTTGAATGCATTGTAGGAAAAAAATTGATTGAGTTGTATAGAATGTAGAAAAATGATATGGCAATCCATTGAACTGTATAAAGTTCAATGCATTGTGGATGCCCTAATAGGAATATGTCGAGATATTCCAAAGGTGTCTTAATTAAGAAGGCGATTTTTCATAAAACGATCCCAAATTAAAGAAGATGATCAAGACACCATATTTATTATGATATGAAGAGGTTTTCCAAGGTGGTCTTAATTAAGAATTTGGAGATGAAAAAAAAGCTACGTAGGATGTACAACTTGTGCAAGTTGGAATCCACGATTATCAAATGTATTTGTAGAATAGCCCACCAAGAGCAAAATATGTTTTGTTGCTTGAAATGATGAGTATGAAGAGAAAAGTTTCTTAAAACAAATGGGAGCTATGTAGATTAGAAATCGAACAACAACACAATACAATACATTATATAATTACTAGCTAGAATTGTTAGAATGACAACAAAACAAGTTAAACACTTCATAAAAATATCAAACAAACTTCGGTGAAACTTGTGGAAATAAAAATTATGAAAAACTTAAATCAAATCGGAACACAATATTTAACATGATTCGGTCAAGGTGACTTACATCCATGGACGAGAGAGAGAGAGAGAGAGAGAGAGAGAGAGAGAGAGAGGATTTATTAAACTTCCAAGAACAATTACAATCACACACAAATGTTACACCTCACTTGAGCTCTCAAAACAAAAGAATCTCTCTTGCTTAGTAACTACTCCAAAGGATGTGCACTAAACCTCACAATGATCGCTCTCTCGAAATTACTGTGTACACACAAGCATTACCTCGCAATGAATAATGAATAGAGATATGAACATATTTATAGGAAAGCATAGAAAACCCTAATTCTGATGGGCCAGACCCATCCATAGTTAGCCCATAAAAGGGGATGCCCTAATTTCCAACCAATCATGGAATGCCATGCAAACACTTCTAGAAGCTTCTGATGGGTTTTGAGCATTCTAACACTCCTATGGTGTACATGCAACCCTATAAACCTTGGATCTATGTTTTCTCTATTATACATGCAAACATTCAATATTCCAAGGTTTCATCCTAACTAGCATAATATGAAGTATATACAATACAAGAATCTAGTAGAATGACATACCTTTGATGGAGCTTGTAGTCTTGAACCTTTAAGAGCTTAACCCCAATAATGTGGAAGCCTCAAATGGAATCACAAATCACCAAAAGCACTTTGAAAACTTGAGAGAATAGAAAACACTTCTAGAAATCGGCCCACCCTTTGTACTCACACACTAGTGCTATTTCATGTGCCAAAGACCTCTTTATATAGTATGGAGGATTAGGGTTACATTCATGTAAAACCTAATACCCAAGACCTTTCATTTCCATAGGATCCATGGGTTAAAAACCGCATGGACTATCCATGCAAGCTTAGCCCATCCTAAATGAACTTGGCCCATTCTATATATATATAAGAGTCCATATTTAATTAGTTCCTTTTGATCACTAAATTAATTCTAAATTAATTCTTGATCAATACTAATTAAATAATATGATTTCATATTAATATATTACAACTTATAATATATTAATAAACCATAGACATACTATTCTCAAAAGACTATCCATACAAATTGTTTCGGTGAAGTGCAACCCAAATGGACCATGCTACACTCGGGTCGAGTACATACCAATAATAGTTATGGACATAGACATCTAATCCAACAATCTCCCACTTGGATAAGTCTAAAACTATTATTCAAGTATGACTCCAAGACCCCGACTAGCAATCATAGCTCTTAAAGCCGCTGTCGAAATCTGACCTAGTCAAATGACGTGTCCATTAGATAAGGGATCATATATTCCTCCATTCTAGATATCATATGAACTGAGACATGGATTATAATCATTCTCTCTGTCCATTTTTTGTTTCCCGATTTTCGATTTATGACAACTGACTAATTAAACAAATCAAATCAGTCTAGGCTTGGCCAAGCACTTACGTGTGTCATCACTAAATCATCGAGGGGCCCACAAATATCGCTTTTATCCCTCCAAGGGTAAAAGGAATGGATAAACTTCGAACCAAATGTTCGCTTGTACTTACTCATCAAATTACACACAACAATATGTTTTATAACAACCAAGTTACTGGTTGCGTTTTACATATGTCAATGTGCAACTGACGGGCAACTACAACTCACACGTCTCTGTTTGAAGAATATAAGGTATTATCGTCTCATGATCACTCGTGATAAAATCCATGAAGTGATACAAATGAGCGTGGGTTTAATCCAATACTCGAATCTCATTCCAGGAGCACTCATGAATGTTGTAGCAACTTTTGCTATGTCTAAACTCTTTAGACATCTACAAGCCCACTTTATGACAGTCTTCATTCATACCTACTTCCAAAGTATGATTGACTGTGGAGAGTTTGAATAACCTAGTTATTCGGGAAGTCAAAAAATGCAAAGTGAAACACAAGAATAATCGAATCCAATATGGTCTCGGAACTTATGAATATAAATAAAACACCTTTTATTTATCACCATATTAATTACACATTATTCATTGTAGAATGTTTCAAATAATCAACTTAATACTTGAATTAAAACAATAGTTGTCCCATGCTCCAAGCATGCACACTATGTTTTCTAAACAATAGTTATGTCATACACCAAGTATGCACACTATGTTTGTCTATGATCCTTACTTTGTGAAATAGTCCAATTGAACATGATTCCAGTTATGCTCATTTCACAATCCCAAATCCTTACCGTAAATGTAAGAATACAATATTCTTTGCCATTTACCGAAATCTGTTAGATTCTAAACTTATATGCATTGATCCTCTTGTAATGACTATGCACAAAAGTCACAAAGACTTGGCAACAAACATTACAAAGTATTCCAATGGAGAGCAAATTCCACGGAAACGAAGTCTCAAATTCAAAGTACATTCCTTTGAACATCCTTCTTGCATTAAGTTTTCTAATCTTACAAGATTGAATAACTTCCACCTATGGAGACATTTCCATATTCTCATTTTGACTATCACTTCTGAACAAGAGTTGCCTCTTTTCAAAATATGTCAATATGGTCCTTTCCAAAAATTTACACCATACTTCTAACTGTCCATGATCAACCAATCTTTGGTAAACCTCAGATTGTCCTCGACAATTGCTTAATCATTTTAGTCATATCCAATTCTAGACCTTTTCCCCTCTTAATGCTCTAGGCATTAGGAAAATTTAGAAAGGATAAATATTATAGCACATGTAATCGATCCTATATCCGAAGCATATGGGACACGATTCATGATGTCTCACATAAAGACATGATCCTAGATCAGTCTTTTGCTACAATATTTTTTATTTGCCATGTTTTCATAATTTGACTATGAAGAGGGATGTCGTAATCATAATCGAATTTGAGAACGCAATATATATAGAATTTCCTCATGTTGAACCATTCCAACATAAAATTCATATATATATATATATATATATATATATATATATATATATATATATATATATATATATCCTTGACTAAAGATGATTAAAATCTCAATCTAAGCTTTTAGAATTGAAATGAAGTATAATTTCCTCTCCCTTAATTATAGCAAAACAACTTTTCCCAATTGAAACTTTTGTTTTCTATAATTAACATTGCTAACTTGCAATACTTATCATAATTATCATGCTCCTACTAACATGATAATTATTAGCATAACACTTATGCTCCCACTAGCTTTGACATGTACTCAGAAATCAGCTGGACTTCTAGAAATCAATACTTTATTGACTTTCTTACCAAAGTTCAGATTTCTGATACGAGATGCTTTGATAAAACTTTATCAAAATCATACACCTTTCCTTAGATAGCTTACATGTGTGTCTAAACAATTTTTAGAACCATGAAAAAGGATGTTGTAATCACAGTCTCAATCGTTTAG